GCTGCAATTTCCATTTGCCTGTTTCTCCTTCGTTTCTCGCCCTGTTTCAGGAATGCAGTCCGTTGTGCAACAAGCTGACACAGGACTTCGATGAACAAGACACATCTTGCCTTTCTGTGTTTCAAACATGAAGCAGGAGAGCAGCTTTTAGTCCAAGCTGTCACACTCCAGGTGACGAAGAAAATGCAATGATAAAACTTTTCTTGAGAAACCGATTTATATTAACTGTGTTATGACCAGTGTTGGGAAGGTTACTTTTAAAATGTATTCCATTACAGAATACAGATTACATGCCCCAAAATGTATTCTGTAACGTTACGTTACTCGATGAGAGTAACGTATTCTGAATACTTTGGATTACTTAATATATTATCATGCTGTTTACAACTCTCTCATTATTCTATTGCTGTGATTTGGTGAGGTCTGTTCTCTCATTATTCTATAACAAATTAAGCACATAAAAGATGTGTAATTGAATCCAAGTGTTGAACTCGGATTTGACAGATGTTCCCTGGAACTCTCAATATGTCGGTGCAAATGAAAGAGGCCATCGTTAGGCTAAAAACAAAAACAACAGAGAATACAGCAGCCCGCGTTCGACTCCAACCTTAGAAGCAAGTCACTTACCCCGCTTTGCTGTATGCTCTCCCTGTCTAATCTAGTCCTATCTAATCAATAATCCAAAGAATAATCAAATTAAAAAATAATACAAAGCTACTAGAGACATAGTAAAAACTATAAGAATGGTCAAATCCGGGTGGTGGTTTAGTTCAGTTGGATGAGCAGGCAACTATATGCTGGATGGCTGAAAGCAGCCATCCAGGGTTTGAGTCCAACCTGTGGCCCTTTGCTGCATGTCTCCCGCTGTCTTTCCAATCAGTCTTCACTGTATCTGTCTAGTAAAGCCAGTAAAAAGCCTATATATATATATATATATATATAGGCTTTTTGTGTGTGTGTGTGTAGGGTATATTCATCAACAAACTTCAACGTGTCCAGAACTCTGCTGCTCATATTATTATTAGGACTCCCTCTACTCACCACATGACCCCTATCCTGAAGCAGCTTCACTGGCTCCCGGTTCAACTCCACATTAATTTCAAAATACTCCTCTACACATTTAAGGCTATTCATTCTCTCCCCACCATATCTCTCTGACTTGGTACAGATCT